CTTCCGATCTCCCCAAAACCCCAAAACCCCGAGAATCAATAGATGCTCTAAAATTGATTGTTCATAATTTGCAAATTAAATATAGTTGATAAATAAGCAATAGCAAGCTTACAAAAATACTGTAAGTTTAAAATCATTAATTAGATTGATAAAGGTTAGTTAATTTGATAGAACTTTTTTGATATTTATCCTGTGTATCTGGATCCCATAAGCTGTAATTCTCGACTATTTTATCCGTTTTAATTGATACATCTTCAACAACTATTGTGTTGTAGACATTATCCTCATAATTAAAAATGCTTTCACACTTTTAAATCATGAAGGAGAGGAGTTCCTAAAACAATCTCCAAGTAATCATATCTTAAGACCAGAATTCAGGAGGTTTAAATAACAAATCTGAAAACATTTGGGAGATCTATTTCTTAGTATATAGACATGTCTTTGATAACTCATATAAAATTTTTAGAATAGCTTTCCAAGTTTCCTAATAGAGTTTATCTTGTTTATGGAGCAGATCTTTTAACTGATTTACAATATCATCAGCTCTATTGGTACAATTATGATTCTCGCAGATCTTTTTAAAAATCTGAAAATTCTGATAGCAGCACAAAGGTTCTTCCATACATTTAAGTATGCATTTAAGATATCCCATTACTATCTTAGAGTCACTGACAGTCAGGATGTACTAATAATTCCCAAGGGTTACCTGGGTCTCTAGAAAATCAAGTTCTGCATTCTCTTAATCATCTAACTTTTAAAGTATCTTAGAATTCATGAGTTTTTGCTTTTTATCTAGGAAATATTAGCTGATATATACTAAAACTTCGGGTATATCTGAATTAGTTTTTCTGTAGAAAGCTCTTAGATGCTTTCCAATGATGTCATGAGTAAGACAAATGCCTCTCTAAATCTAATCATCGTCATAGTTATTGATATTAAGAACACTTGCACTCTTCCTAAAAAAGTTTGGATCCTCATATTTAATGCTTTGTGAAATTTATGTTGACAAAATTGATTCGGTGTAATTAAATAAGTCCACCTCATAAGTTTATTGTTATTTTAATTCTCTTTGATAAGTATCAAGAATCTACAGAGGTAGTTACTTTAAAAATCTAGCTGCAATCGAAATATCCTTCTCATCTTTCATCAGTTTACTTACAAACTTTGGTATTCTAAATATATAAAAAACTTATTTGGAGACTGCTAAAAATACTTACTTATTAAAACTTTGTATTTTAGTCATGATTTCTTTTGCAGATCTCATCATACAGCCCTCTAATAAGAATCAACCTTTGACATAAATAGAGGGCTAAACTATATATACTTATTGCAAGCAGTTTCTCTCTGCTTAGCTTTAAGTGCTATATATTTATTTTAGCTTTATCAAAGCTCCTTTCTTAGATGCGCCTACGTTACTATGAATATATATCATTTTCCAATGAAATCTATAGTTGTTATTATGAATGATTTAAGTCAATATAAATTCATACACATCTCCAAAATGCAGATTAATTTGATCTAAACACTGCTAGATTTTTGCTTTATTCTACTCTCTTTCGTATGCATATCCGTATATAACGTGATAGTAAACACCATCTCAGTTTTATCCTTTATATTGAAATGATATTCGTTTAAATATACCAATATTAGACAGTATTTCTTTCTAAGATAGCCATGTGTATGCTTCAGCAGTCTTCTAGACATCAACTTTTTCTAACTTCTCAAGAATTTTGTTTGCTTGTTCATCATTTCGTCTACAAAAGTAGTTTTAAATCCGATTACAGAAAATTAAAAAAAAAATCAAAATTATAATCTCGATTAATGATGGTTTACTTTAAACTTGCTTAATAGATACTGTTAACATAGCTTTGAGTAGCTGATATATCAGTAAAATTTACTCTCATACTAACTTCTCTGAGATTAGCCATCTTTGAATGATCCTCTAAGCCACTCTCAACTTCATTAATTATTGAAAGGTCTTTGGTTGAATGCTCCATTGAGATCCTAGTTATTTTAATTATAAAAGGATTGTATTATCATTTTCAAGTTTACAGTTTTATAATTATGCATGGGGTTTTGGGGTTTTGGGG